ACCTATTGATGTGGAGGTCCAGGTGCTTGTTGCCAAAGATGGACTTTTGCAAAGCGCCACACGCTCGGGAGGCATTCGCATTGGGGAGTCAACATCGCAGGATGAACGGCCGCCGCTGTGAATTACCGAACCCAGATACTTAAATTCGGTGACACAGACAATGCTCACAAACTCACTCACACACACACACACACACACACACACACACACACACACACACACACACACACACACACACACACACACACACACACACACACACACACACACACACCATGTACCATGTATACGCCCGTCGCAAGAGAAGCACGCAAATCTGCACATGCACTGGATGTGCAACCACAGATTTTCTCTATAGCAACGATAGCAGATCTGATTCTGATTGAAACAGATCAAGACAAGCCACACACACACACACACGCACACACACACGCACACACACACACACACACACACACACACACACACACACACACACACACACACACACACACACACACACACACACTTGTACTTGTACTTGCTCACTGCCAAAATTGGTCACGTGGGTCTCCCCGGGAGAGGGGAGAGAGACTCAAAAGGAATCTTGGAAAGATGACTCAATTGGCCATTGAACCACCCAACGGCCGACACCCCCTGAAATCCCCAAACTAGGGTGGACTTGAAATGATCCCACTTATGGGCTCACCACACCTCAGTAAGTGGGTGAGGACAAGGTGCAGAAAAAGGATTGACGGCATCAGGGTATCCGTCCCGGGATCCAACTGCAGGTACCCCTGCCCCCAGTGAAGGTAATACTTGGTACTAGTGTGGGTGGCTAAATCAGAGTGGATCTGATAAAAGCTTCACTAGCACCATTGATTGCACAAGAGTTAATCTAGCCAGAAGTAGTCCATGGTTAACAGGTATGTATACTTCAAATAGAAAGTATATGAACCCTGAAACCAACAAAGGTGGTAGGTACAACAATACACCTTCAAGCAGCCGAGCCCGTTGGCAACAGGCCCAACACTATCTGGCATAAGTGTACCCACCAACCGAACTAGCTGGCACACACACACACACACACACACACACACACACACACACACACACACACACACACACACACACGTGTCCTGTGGCTCGTTTGTAGACCTATAAATCGTGCAATTATTGGGCCAATATTGAGAGGTATGCCATTTTCATGATTCTCTTCAACAAATTCTGGGCGGGTTTTGGAATGTCGATCTACACCCCAAAGCAAACCTACCTGTGCGAAATCTGAGAGATCGACTTACACAAATGTTCTGGTTTTCTCAGACATGTGCGATAAGACTTTCGAATAGAGGGGGGAGGTAGGGGGTAAAGTCCATTCGAAATGCGTTACGTTTGCAAAATAAATGCGAACTAATGAGATGCTCCCTTACTCATCATTGGATTCGACATTTAAATAACAGTACAAAAGGCCTTGACCGTTACGGCTTCTGTGCTTCATTTGCTGATTTGTTTCCCTCTAACCAAGACGACCTCGACATGGGCCCAATATAAAACTAAATGTTGGGTCCTATAGGAGCGCTGGTACAGCGTACAGAATGGAACAAAGAGAAAAACCACCACCATGCCAACATTTCCTCACCTGAGTAGTCTCCACCTCCCCACCACATGGAGCCATGACTACATCCAAGAAAGCAACGGCCATTATCTCCAAATATCACTAAAATGCACGGTCGCCAGTGGTGGTCTGCGCTGAAATCGGCTGTCTGAGGCGACTGCTAGCGCTGACTGAACGGCGGCTGACAGTGTAGTGGGGTGTTCCTTCAATACCAAGGTCCGCATGTTACCGTGCAGGCCGTTGACAAATAGCAAGGCTCTGGAGAGTTCGTCAAGTTCCGGCACCTGTAAACTTAGCCGAGAAAACTCTGTTACGTACGATTCAATTGACCCACGCTGTTGGATAGAGAACATATCCAACCGCACTCTATCCCCGTCATAGTGCGGGCCATACACTCACGCTAGGGCGCTTTTCAAAGAATGCCAATCCGAAAATTGCTCACCTGCTTCCATGGAAGAAATTAGCCAAAGACGCGCATTCCCAGCGAGGTAGCTAGCCGCAAGGTTAACTTGGCTCTCCGGGTCACCTTGAGGTGAGCACTTCAAGGCTAACTCGACCGTAAATACCCACTCTTTGAACTCGGAAGGGTTGCCATGGAAAACATTCGGTTCTCTGGTAACGCGTTTGACGCTGGGGCTTGTCTGGGAGAGAGAACGCGATCGACACGGGGCTAGATCTGGAGGACTTGAGCTTGATGTAGCAGGTAATTGATATCGTCCAACTGTAGCAGCCACGTTGTCCCGAGCGCGGCGGATCTCACGGAAAGCGGCGTATAGCAGAGCAGTAGCGGCCAGGAGCACAAGGCACGTCAAAGGGCAAACGATGATCTCAACCATCCTCAAGCTACCAGTGTAACAGTATAGACTTGATTGATTGGAGAATTCCCCGAATGATGTTCAAACCAGAGGTTATAAAGCAAAAGAAAGGCGAGAACCGCAGGAGTGAGAATAGTAGGAACACAAGGTGTTACCATAAGACAAGCAAGAAGTGTCAAGGTGAAACTATTACACAAAGAGTAATTTCCTGGGTGTCGTCTTGGCGGTTATCGCCCAATCTGTCTAAAACTAAAATCAGGCTCTTTCCTTCTCAGCCCAATGTTCCGCCCCTCCTCCATCCCACTTTCCCCCAGCCTATAGACATAGTCTCCAGCCATAAGCATCTTGGCATTTTCATTGACTCTAATCTTTCATGGGAACCCCACATCGATTACATATGTAAACGATCAAGTTCATCTTTAGGAATTCTCTCTTCTCACTGTTACCATCTCCCAATCTCTTGTAAACTCCTCTTTTACTCAGCTTACTTACGCCCCATTTTTGATTATGCAGATACTGCTTGGGCTGGAATTTCCACAACCCGTGCTGCCAAGCTCGAGATTCAACACAAAAAAGTTCTCAAAATCCTCCTCCGAAAACCCCGCATGCTTCCATCTTCCACCCTTTATGCCCTTTGTCTAAGAGACGTAATTCACATCTTGTCACCCTTATCCATTCTCTCAAACTCAATCTGTATCAACCTCACCTCCACTGTTTCAACTGGTTCTCTTCCCGTAGCACGAGAAACTCCCTTTTCCTTCCGAAACCTAAGTCCTCCTTTCTACTTCACTCTCCCTTTTTTATTGCGTACTCTGCGTGGCTGGCACTTCCCCAAGAAGCTAAGGACCTTCTTCCCTCCGCCTTTTTAAGAGCCTTGTCGCGCCTTGGTTTTGATTTTGTGTTTCTGATTTGGTTGCAATCACTGCTGATCCATGCCGGTTCCTTTTTCTTCTCCTCCCCTTCTCCCTGCATTGCCGTGATTGGCTAACACCCTCTCTCTTTGTATTGGCCGGTGTTCTCACTGTGCTATGAGATGCTGTAATAAATAAATAAAATAAAAATAAATAAGCATACTACGCACTACTTTCTGCATATACATCACGTACTTCTGTTACCCGGACCAGGACTTAAAGCCCGGGCAAGTGCGCCTACTGCGGCCTAGCACCTCCAGATCTGAATCTTGTGAAAGTCCAGTATTTTGTATTTGTATTGCTTTTATTTTACATCGCAAGTCAAACGGGCAATCATGCCCAGTGTTAAGATGACGATGGAAAGGGAGTGCTTTTTTGATTGTCGTGAGAAGTACTTCCGTGAGTTAGTGTTGTTGTTGACGAATGCGTCCTCTCCGGTAGCCTTCATCTATACCCCTAGCAAGATTAGTCGTGAAACCAATGCAGTCTTTCGATATTATTCACGTTAAAGTTGTGGCTTGTCCTTACTTACCAGAAACAGATACATGTATATGGGACTACCCTGCACTAGGCTGCAGGACGCACTTCATGTATCGGGTGTACTACGTTCAGTGTTTCAAGAATGTGTTCAGTGAATTGTTTATGTTGGCAGTGAAATACCCGGGCTCGTTCGAATACTCGCTCGTTTTTTCTTGATTTTGGCACTCGTTTCCCCCCTAACTTCATTTTGGCACTCGTTTCCCTCTAACTTGATTTTGGCACTCGTTTTCCCTCTAACTTGATTTTGGCACTCGTTTTCCCCTTACTTGATTGTGGCACTCGTTTCCCCCTAACTTGATTTTGGCACTCGTTCCCCCTTACTTGATTTTGGCACTCGTTTCCCCCCTTACTTGATTTTGGCACTCGTTCCCCCCTAACTTGATTGTGGCACTCGTTTCCCGCCCTAACTTGATTTTGGCACTCGTTTCCCCCTAAACTTGATTTTGTCACTCGTTTCCCCCTTAACTTGATTTTGGCACTCGTTTCCCCTAACTTGATTTTGGCAATCGTTTCCACCCTAACTTGATTTTGGCAACTTGATGTTGGCACTCGTTCCCCCTCTAACTTTATTTTGGCACTCGTTTCCCCCTAACTTGATTTTGGCACTCGTTTCAACCCTAACTTGATTTTGGCACTCGTTTCCCCCTAACATGATTTTGGCACTCGTTTCCTCTTGATTTTGGCACTCGTTTCCCCCCTAACTTGATTTTGGCACTCGTTTCCCCCCTAACTTGATTTTGGCACTCGTTTCCCCTAACTTGATTTGGGCAATCGTTTCCACCCTAACTTGATGTTGGCAACTTGATGTTGGCACTCGTTCCCCCTCTAACTTTATTTTGGCACTCGTTTCCCCCTAACTTGATTTTGGCACTCGTTTCCCCTAACTTGATTTTGGCACTCGTTTCCCCTAACTTGATTTTGGCACTCGTTTCCCCTAATTTGATTTTGTCACTCGTTTCCCCCTAATTTGATTTTGGCGTTAGTGAAATCACAGGACGGGAATGTTGTCAAAGTCACTGAGAAAATATCTCCACATCATCGCTTTTTGAAGCAAACAATTTTGAAATCTCAACTTCATCACACTTCAATGCATACAAACCCATATCTCACAAGCAATGTCAATTCTGATGTTGTTCTCAGGGAAATTCAAGGAAACAACCTAACTCTGGATCATCGACTATGTGGATTGTTTGCTCTAAAAGCTCGTGCTGATGTGATTATAATGGCCAGCAGAATATCCAATTACGTTAGAAGTAAGTATGCCGTTATCATCTGATATAATCTTGGAATACTGTAAGACATGCTAATATAACGAGGAAGCAAATCTAACGTTGTGACGGGTGACATTTCTTCGTTATATGGCCCGATATCTGAGACTTTCGACCTTCGGGGCTACGCGTTCTTTTTGAGAAAACGCTAAAAACAAATTTGTTCGCAAAAAATCGATTCCGTTAAAGCAAAGTGCAGAGACGACAATGGCGGAAGAAAATTGAAGGCGATTCTTGTGTCAGTTGGATATTGGGCTCACGGAGCACAGCAGCCGCGATCCCATGGACGGTGATGCATCGTTCTTTGTGGATATCCTGTCAAGCGGCGACAGTGCTTCTAGTTCTGAGAGCGCATGTCAGGCGAATTGATCGCAAGTGACACGGCGTACTTACCTGTCGGGGGCGAGGATGATGAGGACTTGGCCTGGATGAGTATGATCAAGGCCAACCACAGTCTGCCTCAGCAATAGCTGCTACAGCTCCAGGCAAGGACAACCAGGTGGATTCCTGTGGGTACGCCGCTTGCAAGGTCGCTGGGCGCCCTTGCGCGAGTGGCAGAACTGTTTCCTGAGTGTCACGCCAGACCTGCTAAAACAGCACGAAATGATGTGAGTTTTCTTTGCGACGATGATCCTAAAATGTTTTGGATGGCAAGCTCGATACTCGAGCTAATAATGGCGAATCAGACCATCACGGAGCACATGAGGCTGGGCAATCTCGAGTAACATTCTGTTAGTTTTGAGTTGGTGGTGTGAAACGCTTGTCAGGCTGTGTTACTGATGTTTGGAAATGGTCAGTCTCCACAAAGTGCAACAAGGCGAATCTGGACGCATTTGCTCTGTTTGACTCCTTCACAATAAGTATGTGAATGCTGTTGTGTAATCGTAGGTGACATTTACGTTTTGTTGTTCTTTCATATTATTAGTATTTATTATCAGAGTCTAATCAATTCGTTCGTCGTTGTCAGCGTGTACACGAGGTACTGCTTGCCTTGAGTCAACAACACGGAATTCACGAGTTACGATTGTGCACTTTTGTACGACATTGCATGTTGTTTGTACATTTACAATCACGTACATGCAGCTTGGCAAGTTGTGTCACGATGCAATGCACACCAATTTATTTCACTACACGTATTTCTCGTAACACATCAATTCTTACTTCGTAGGTGTTTAGGTCCGGTCTTGCGTGACAGAGGTAGTTACTCTTAGTTAGCTTTCTCCATGATTGATTCTAAGAAACACGGACATTGATTCTAGCTTCGAACTGTTTCTTCTTTGTCTGCCTGTGCATTTTTTCTCAAACAAATCTTTCGTTCAATGTGTTTACATGTATCATGGTGTTCCATCAAAATCTGTTGCAGACTATCCTGTCAAGCATGTCCATCACCAGGAGAACAGATAAATCACCTCTCCTTCTGATGCTGCTATTGCTGCTGTTGCCACTACACAACCTCAGTAAAGTCACGGAATGCTGGAAATGAAGTACCTGAACAGTCAAATAACTATACTATTAGTTGGCTATTGATATCACATGGAAACAATTTTTGGTGGCTCCAAACACACTGATCTTTCAAAATTGTAAAAAAGAACAATTCATTAACATGATTCCTGACCGTAAAATGCATTTCTACATGGTCAATATTGGTCTGATGGCCGTGAAACGAAGTCACAATACTCTACAAAGGCTAGAAATCAATTAATTTTGCAATAAAAAAATCAATTTCACCAAAACAGCCCGGAAGGTCGATTTTCTCAGATATTGGGCCTTATTATTATGTTCTGTTGAGGCTGTACGGCCACATTATGTTATATGTGCGGATACGCCTGAAGACTGCAATATCGTTTACATAATTATGTTCTCGTTAACCTATGAATTTTGGACAATCGTTAAATTTGCGACTTGTTATAATAACATGTCTTGCAGTACCATTTGTAATCCATGGACTCACTCTCACACACTCTCTCTCTCACTCACACACACACACACACACATGGTCAACTAAATATCTACATAAAACAAACAAGAGAAAGAGGAGAAGCTGGGTTTCAACTCCCAGCTTCATTTTAGTCACGAGCATCAGCCAACCCTTTTAACTACAACTAATCATATGCTGGGGCAACATAGTCGAATATATATTTTTTTATATGGAGATCTTCGAAAGACGCTACACTTGTGTTTGGTCTATAATTTGTTACCCAAATATAATGTAATTAGGCGTCGAGGCGACAATAGTTTTGGAATTGCGATCAACAGAACGAGCTGAACCGACATTTCACAAAGGCTTTATTGTATTCAAAAAACGAGTGGATACGAAGGCAGTGAAGAACATGGAAGAAAGAAAAAATGTGACATGGAGAAAATGATGAACAAAAAATCGTACTTCGAACTAGTTTTCGCACAACACTCCTCAGGAAGCTACGTTGTACTAATGAAAAACAATCTAGAAAGATACTACATAGCCAGCAATCGCATGTCACCACGTACTTTGAAAATCAACATAATTTTTCGAATCGACCTTTTTTTCCGGATCAATTTTCAACGAGGACGAAGCAAAGTCGGCCGAACGAAGCCTAGAGGAAGAAAATCACCCTCTCCACTTCACCATCACGATACTGACATAGATACGAGATGAAACAACTAAAAAATCCACAAGAAAACTGTACGGCCATCATCGCGCTGACTTTGGTCTGACTTTGGTCTAAAAATTTCTATCACGATCAAAAATGTACGAGGAGCACTCAAAAATAAGCCACAGACATACCTTTATCGCTCTCTACTCCTTTTTCAAGGCACAAAAGTCGAGTCTCCACTTTCAAACCAGGAACCAGACATACCAGTGGTCCTTTTCAGCTGCTCCACGAGCGCAGGAAAGGTTCACCAAGGGGCGCAGAGCAGCATCCATTCCAGAAAAAGAGCTAAAATACGAGTGAGACTGCATGACTGAGTACATGAGTACATGTATGAGTACATGCAGAAAATAGTCAATTTCAGCGTTTCTGCTCCAAACAGCAACTAGCTTCGACTAGAAACAAAGATTACACCAAAGGATCAAACAACAACCATTTTCTGCAGTTTTTTTGCAGATGGCTTCCTTGTGCTCGGCCCAGCACGCCAAAAATCACACCTCGGAGGAGTACAAAAATTACAACTCTCAGATGTCCTCGATTGCTGGCCATGATAAGGAGAAATGGAGTGAGAAGAAACAACACCTATGAAAATGATAATCCTAGCACTAAGGTAATAACAGGAAAAACTGCGAAAGCACTTAACGAACTTGTAAAGACTACTAGTATACTGTGACACAAGATATGACACCATGGCCAACTAGGGCCAAACAGACAGAACAAGCTGCTACTAGAACCATTTCAAACGAATAATGCTGTCCTTCTGGACACACAGATTAGGCTTATGAATACGTTGACAAACAGCTTCTAACACACTCAACTGCAACTTATAACCATGACGAGCACGGCACAAAACAGAAAAAGAAGAATCAGAATACACCTTGCAACAATCAGGACGAGATACAAGATGCTTATACACTGATGACTTCCTACTAGAAAACACACGCTCGCACCCACTCTTACTCACACAATCATTCTCGCTCTCATACTCACCGGACTCACTGGACTCGATGGCCGAATCCTCCTCAACGACGTCCTGCCTTGGAGCAATCAGGTCCCGTCTCCTCCCATCCCTTGTCTCACGCTCCTATTGTGCATTCCGTTGGCTCTGTACTTCCGTACTGAAATAGGTCATGGTGTAATTCGCAGTTGTTCTTCTGGGTCTCGTTGATATTGAGGTAGGTATTGTTGTCGTCTCTGCCGGTGATGCAGCAAGCGATGATGACGCAAACGTGTCTGCATGCAACACACGTGGTGTCGCCAAAGCCACACCCACCTCCGCTGGTGGAGGGAGTGACTTGGTCATGGCCACGGGAGCCAATGGTGGACTTGCCGAGTGGGACGCTAGGTCCTGTGTTGGCGGAGGTAGTGGTTGTTTACGGGGTCTTCCCCGTGTGGGACGCTCCAGTTGTGCGCTACGTGGGATAATGTGTAAATGAGTGTGTTGCTTGATGCGTTGGCTCAGGTGCTGAACAGTCCTACCAACATACCGGCTAGCACAATTCCGGCGTTCAAAGTTGTAGATTACATGACTTAAATGATGGGTTGGTAGGACGTCCTTCAACACCGTGAACGAACGCATCGTTGTCTGGACGGGTATGAAGTGTACCGCATAGTAGGTTTGTTTGATGATCACACGAACTTCACGACTCACATTGTCAGACGTCTTGCCCTTCCATGGTAAGCACAAAAAGACAGGACAACGAGCAGGCCCTATCAATTCATGTTTCGGCGTGGGGGCTGTAGACAACAGTTTTGCCAACATGTCGCCTGGGTATCCGTTTTTGGTGAAAACTGAACGGAGAAATTCGAGCTCACCACTGAGTTTACAAGGTGAACAGATCCGTTTGGCGCGATCCACGAGATTCTTTACTAAGTTGACTTTATAATTAGACGAACAGTACGAGTCATAGGAAATGTATTGTCCGGTGAATGTCGGTTTACGATACACCGATGTTACGCTACCAAATTCGGTTTTCTCAACAAGTACGTCGAGGAAGGATAACTTGCTGGACTGCTCGTGCTCACATGTGAAGCGGAGGGAAGGGTGAAGGCTGTTGAGAGCACTAAGAAAGACTTCGCTGTCTTCTATGGAATCAAAGTATGTGAAAGAGTCATCAAAGAAACGGAAATAAAGACTCGGCCATAGAGACGCATCAATCTTGCACTCACAGTAACTGACAAAGACATTAGCTAACACGGGACCCAACGGAGAGCCCATGGCTACTCCATCTATCTGCTTATACATCACGTCATTGAACGAAAACTCGACGCCAGTTGTGGCTAACAACATCAAACGTCGAAAAGCACATTCAGGTAGCCACGGAGTGTCAACTTCGTCAACACGGTACAACACAT